GTGTGGAGGTATTTGACAAAGGTTGATGTTCCTAAGCCTAAATAAATAAAAATTGGTCCCAAAACTACTGATTGCATACGCCAATAATAGTAGTGCATATCGTTTTCATGTATACAAATCGGATATAAACAAGGGTACCATAATTAAGTCAAGAAATGTGATATTTTTTGAGAACGTGGAAAATATAAGTTTGAATAAAAGAACATGAAACTACAAATGGGTCTTCAAATAAGGAAGAAACATGGCATAGTAAGAGGGCTAGAACGCCCACTTCGTTTGGTTCAAATTTTCTAACATATATGGTAGAAAATGAGTCAAAAACTTCTGAAGAAGCAATGTCTATTCCAAAAGCACCGCATTGGAAGGAAGCTATCAATAGTGAGATAGATTTCATAATATAAATTCATATGTGGGAATTGGTAAATATACCTCCCGAAAATAAGCCTTAGGGCGTAAAAGATGGATTTGACTTCTTGAGCTACTCACCCATGACTAGAATCACTTCGACAAAGGTTACTAAATTGCAACTGCGGCAATACATAACTTTGAGATTCACCAAATGGATGTGAAAAATGGTGAGTTAGAAGAAGAGATATAATGAAGCAATCGGAAGGTGTCTCCAAGTGAAAGTCACAAAGTTTGTAAACTTGTTGAGTCCTTATATGGACTGAAATAAGCTCCTAGCACCAAAAGTTTGACAAAATGATGTTATCAAATAATCTCAAAATAAATGAATGTGACAAAAATACACCAGATGCTTATGTGTTTGTATGTAGACAATATGTCGATGATGGGCAATAGTCACGAAATGGTGCTAAACGTCAGGAAAATACTTACGAAGCATTACAACATGAAAGACATGGGTGTGGCGGATGTAATAATAGAGATAAAATCTCTTTAATATTGGAAGGGATTGTATTTTTCCAGTCATTATGTTGAGATAATGTTCAAAAAGATTGAAGTATTAGAGGAAAGTTCTAAAAAAAACCCTACCGATACAAGTTTACACTTGGTCAAAATAAGGGTGTAAGTGTGTCACAACTGAGATATTCACAGGTAATTGACAGTCTAATGTATATTACGAACTGCACTCGATCAGATAATGTTTTTGCTATGAATAAATTTAGTAGATTCACAAGTAATCCAGGCCATGATTACTGGATGTCATTGACAGGGTCCTTACGTATTTGAAATACAATGACCTATGGACTACATTTCACAAGATATCATGATATACACTAAGTCTAAAGTGGATGAAATGTGATGTTAGCCCCAAAGTGGATAAAATGGGATGAAAGTCAATCATGACGATTGTTTGAATATACAAGAACAATTGGAATATTGGAGAATATTCATAAAGTTCAAATGCATTACAGTGCTTTAATGATGATATTGAATATCCATGTATAAAATCCACTCATAAATATGATTGACTGGTGTAATAATTTGATGGAAATCTTTCAATCTTGTTTGGAATTGAGAAAGTTTTAGATAAAGCTAATGATAAGCATATAGCTTCATAAGGGGATTTCTTAGTTGGTGACAATGTGTATCTATCAAATGAATCGATTGTTGGCTAGCTAAATTTGAAAAGATACTAAATCACATATAATGGTAAATCTAGATGTGTAAGTCGTAGACATAGTGCCATAAGCAGTTGATCTATTGGTGTGAACTTGTGGATCCACTTATAAATGTTTACCAAAAGATCAAGTATACTACATATCGAAGGGAATGAGATTAAGCATATTGAATAAGAGTCCTTAAGATGGTAGCCCTACCTTGTTGACTGGAGATCCCAAAATTTTGGTTCAAAGGGACAACTAAGTTATGAGAATTTCATGAAGCACTTAGGAAACTGGTTTCCTAACTCATTCCTATGATACTAAAGTGATTTCTACATAGTGGTTGGAGGTTAAGATAATTTTTTAATGATTCCTCTATCTTAATTAAGTCAAGTGGAGTAGGACATAATACTTTTAATAGGAGATTACCTATGTAAGTGTGAAGTGGGGTCGCTTCAATGAGAATTATTCAAGACTTGAATTCTCTAAACAATTACAAAATCAAGATGGGTTCAGGACCAAAATAAACCTAGTCACGAGAACCATGAACGATTTATAGGAGACATTGTGTGAGTATTGTTGTCCTAATTTATACCAACGGCTGATAGTTCAAGACATCATGTTCACTGATTAGCCAACTAAATCCGATAGCACTTCACTAAGGAAGGTTCAAAGCCAAAAGCTACCTTACCTGATGCAGTGTTTTTCCACTCTCTCTACCAGTGTTTGCATAGGTATTTGCATTAATTTTCATCCATGTGGGAGATTGTTGGAGTTTTATATCTAAAATTGATTGTGACCAATTTTACACAATCATTTAAGTG